TTTCTTCTCGTGGCAATAAAAAATGTTCTAAAATTGATTATGATGATGATTGCACAACTCTATGAAGATGCCTAAAAAGACACTAAATTTTACATTTTAAATTAATTGTAGGATATGTGAATTATATCTCAATCAAGCTTAACCAAAAAAATAAGAATTCATTCTAAAGAAGTTTCTAAAATGATAGAATATGATCCCATTTTTGTAAGGAATATATACACATATTAATATATATACAGATATATGTTAACATAGATATTAACATATACACTTAGAAAAAAATTGCAGAAGTGTACAGACTAACCCATAACACTGATTTGCTCTGGATAGGAGGATTATGGATATTTTCACAAGAGAAAAGATTCTGTCACTCTTTTACTTATGGGTTTTCTTGCATTCAAGGTAGGCAGTTATCTGAATTTTTACAAAGACTACATATTACTGGCTTAATCTGTTTAAATTTTTAAAGGATGGATCTTATAGCACACCTTTAAAATGATTAAATAAGGCCTCTCTGACTCATGAAATGAAATTACTGGTCTGATAAATGAAGTAATTCTTTCTGCTCTCCTTAAAAATTAGGTAGTAATGATTATTATAGTCACTAAAAACTCCCCAAATGAATGTCTCTCTCTAAAAAGAGATAACAATGGCATTCTAGAGAGTACAAACTATTTTAACCAAAAAGTTTCCAGGACAGGATAAGTAATACTGCACAGAAAAAGTGGGCCTGAAGGACTTCTTGAATAATACCCCAAAGAATGGCAACCAAAGCAAAATTGGACAAATGGAATCATGTCAAGCTAAAAATCTTCTGCACAGCAAAGGAAGTAATCAACAAAGGGAAGAGACAAGCCACAGAATGGGAGAAAATATTTGCAAACTACACATCTGACAAGAGATTAATAACTAGAAAATATAAGGAGTTCCAACAACTCGATAGGAGAAAATCAAATAATCCAATTAAAAATGGGCAAAGGATCTGAATAGACATTTCTCAAAAGAAGACATACAAGTGGCCGACAGGCGTATGAAAAAATGCTCATCATTAGTCATCAGAGAAATGCAAATCAAAACTACAATGAGATATAATCTCACCCCAGTTAAAATGGCTTTTATCAAAAAGACAGGCAATAACAAATTCCGGATGAGGATGTAGAAAAGGGGGAACTTTTCCCCGTACACTGTTGGGGAAATGTAAATTAGTGCAACCACTATGGAGAACAGTATGGAGGTTCCTCAAAAAACTAAAAATAAAACTACCATATACCCAGCAATCCCACTGCTGGGTATATATCCAAAGGAGGGGAATTTAGTATGTGAAAAATATATCTGCACTCCCATGTTCATTACAACACTATTATAGTAGCCAAGATTTGGAATCAACCTAATGAATGGATGAATGGATAAAGAAGCTGTGGTACATATACACAATGGAACATTATATAGCCGCAAAAAAAGAATGAAATCCTTCAAATAGCTGGGCTTCAAAAGAATAAAAGAAAATAGGAAAAAAAAAAAATGAATGAAATCCTACCATTTGCAACAACATAGATGGAACTGGAGAACACTATGTTAAGTGAAATAAGCCAAGCACAGAAAGACAAATCTTGCATGCTTTCATTCATATGTGGGAGCTAAATATTCAAAAACAATTGATCTCATGGAGACAGAGAGTAGAATGATGGCTACAAGAAGCTGGGAAGGGAGCAGGGAGGGAGAGAAAAAGTGGGGATGGTTAATAGGTACAAAAATAGTTAGACAGACAGAATAAACAATATTTGATAGCAAAACAAAGTGAGTATAATCAACAAGTTAGGGTATACTTCAAAATAACTAAAAGAGTAGAAGTGGAATTTTCCTAACATGAAGAAATAATAAATGCCTCAGGTGATGGATATCCCAATTACCCTGATTTGATTAATTCACATTGTATGCATGTATCAAAACATTACACATACCCTATAAACATATATATTATATATCCATAATAATTAAAAATTTTTAAAAAACAAAAATAAATAAAGAAAAAAGAAAAAGCAGGTCTGTTAAAAAAAAAGTTGAGGAAGCATGATCTGGTATACATTCTCAAGCACAACTTCAAATCCAAAGTCTTTATCCTCTTTTAGTCAAACATGGAAACAACATTAATTAGACAAGGTCTGGTTCTGTTGCCCTGGCTAGAGTGAAGTGGTGGGATCACAGATCACTGCAGCCTCCAACTCCTGGGCTCAAGCAACACTCCTGCCTCAGCCTCCCCCAGTAGCTAGACTACAAAGTGTGTGCCACCACTCACTAATATTTTTTTGTAGAGATGGGGTCTCACTATGTTGCCCAGGCTGGCTAACTAGCTTTTTGAAAGCCATGCCCACAAGATAACTTATCTTTAGTAGGCAGAGGCATCAGAGTGAGAGATACCAGGAAAATCACTGGAACGTCAGAAAACACCCAGAAAGCTTTTGGGTATGCAGTTTAGACACAACAATAAGCTCCAAAACCTAGAGGAAAAAATCATGTAAAAATTCAGAGGCAGGAGGTAGACAGTCTTTCCACATCTTTTACAGGATACCCTTCCAGAAAAAAATTAACTTTGAAATATAGGGATTTTATTTTAGAATGAGTGAAACATTTAAATTATACATATACTGCTAATGAATCATGTTTTTTGCTTCATTATTAGTCATATGCATTACAAAAGTTTAAACAATAAAGAAGACTATAAAGAGTATGAGTAATGCAGTAATAACAGTCAATTCTGGTCTAAATTCATGAAGCAATGGAAATCTCAAACTGTTTTTTCACATTTAGCCTATTCTCCACTACAGTCACACCCACCCTAGTTCTACCAGTGAATACCCACCATCTAGCTGTGACCATTATTAATGGTTTATAGCCTTCTACGGCATCACGCAGCTGTAGAATTTTTTACCTAAAACTATATACATTTACTGAAAAGACTAAGGACTTTGGACTAGTCAGCCTAGCAAAAGTAAGTGCTTAAAAAATGTAAATAAGTAAAGTCCGGAGGGGAAGGAGGGAAGGCAACACACGTAACCTAAACATTTGTACCCCCATAATATGCTGAAAGAAATTAAAAAAAAGAAAAAGAAAAAAAAGTCACACTGTATCTAGTAAAATACTGAAAATTGAAAAAAAAATGTAAATAAGTAAACGAACTGAATAGCCTTAGGAAAGTATGTTCTAACCGCTTGGACTACAGATATGTAAAATATATCAGTATATGTGCATAAAATATGTATACATTGATATATATGCTCATAGAAAAAATCCAGGAAAGGTAAAGACTAAATCATAAGACTGGTTTTCCTCTGTGTAGTAGAGTATAGGGACAAAATGCCGTGCTAATAAATTAAAAGCATAGGTATGAAGGGACTTAACAGATAGCACACTTTCAACAGGGAAAATATACAGACACACTCCTAGCTATGTGGAACTCTTGAGATTTTCACAATAGGAAAGAAAGACCCATTGTCCTGTTTGCTTACAGAATTTTGTATTCCTACTTCTTGACCTATGGTTGTTATATGTGTTCCTCCTATCCTTAGTGACATTCAAGAAATAGAGGGAAATGGATAATAGTGTAGCATCTACTTACTCCTGTAGATTTTAGACCCCAGCTTCTTCTCATCAGCTAGATGAAGTGTTAATAGTACAGTAGAAAGGTTTGAGAGTTGGAAAGTAGAACCTTGCTGCTTCTAACCTCATGACCGTAAGACTCTCAAAGGTTTAACTGAAGTAAAATATACATCCATTTTGAAGGGTAAAAGTTTAAAATAAGTTCAATGAAGAATATTAAAATAGGGTATTATTTAGGTTGTGAAAACATATTTACCACTTAACATAGCTTTGTAACTTAAACAACACCAGGTCTTAAAAGGGTGCTACAAAACAAGTTTCCATATTACCTTACTCACTTTTCCCTAGCCCATCTCACCCAATGCCCTACTCAATACTAAAACATCTAGAAAATGCTACATCTCTAGATAAGATACATCACCCAAATTTCCAACAGGAAAAGAAAATGGCACAGAACTCTCAACATCAAATTTTAGTACACCCTAACTGAACAAATCTGTGAGCTTTGAATTCTATTAAAGAATTCAAAGAATTCTATTAAAGATGGCAAATAAATTGATACTCATCAACTTTATCTTGCTATCCTTAGAAAAGTTTAATCATAAAATTAAAAGCATTTCTCTAGCTGATTAAATATTACTGAATTTTTTGACTTTCAATTAATTCAATGATAAATTTAAACCTCTAAAGTACAGGTAAATGTTCTCATTTTAATTCATGAAATGATTAACATTTAAAATTATTTATATATCCATATTAAAAGAAAGTTCACCAGCTATATGACAATCTGATTAATGGTTAAGAACAAAGGCTCTGAACCTGGACCATCTAGGTTCAAATCCCACTCTGCCATTAACCAACTATGAAACCCTGGGCAGGTTATAATCTCTTCTGCCTCAGTTTTATCTCTAAAATGGAAGTAATAATGGTATTTATTCCTCATGTTGTTTTGAAGAGTAAATGACTTAATATGCTAAAATGCTTAGAGCATGTGACATATGATCAGCACTATATAATAGATGCTATTAATATTATCTTACTATTACATTATTATAAAATAAAAAATTTTAACAAAGACAAGCTAACACTAGCTCAAGCTTTAAAAAGAATGCTCAGGCCGGGCACAGTGGCTCACGCCTGTAATCCTAGCACTCTGGAAGGCCGAGGAGGGAAGACTGCTTGAGCTCAGGAGTTCGAGACCAGTCTGAGCAAGAGCAAGACCCCATATCTCTACTAAAAATAGAAAGAAATTAATTGGCCAACTAAAAATATACAGAAAAAATTAGCCGGGCATGGTAGCACATGCCTATAGTCCCCCAGCTACTCGGGAGGCTGAGGTAGCAAGATTGCTTGAGCCCAGGAGTTTGAAGTTGCTGTGAGCTAGGCTGACACCATGGCACTCTAGCCCAGGCAACAGAGTGAGACTCTGTCTCAAAAAAAAGAATGCTCATTCAAGAGATGGGTCATTAAAGAAATTACTTAAATTCAAAAACTTTCCTCATTTATAAAAAACTAGAATGGTGTTTTTCAGAGTTTTTTGCAAGGGTACTTGGAGTGGATTTGCACCCAAGCAGCAGCTAGAGTTGTCACAGTTCCATCTTCAGCTTCACGATGCTTCCCTTGGCCAAAAACACACTAAGCCGTCTCCAAGTTTGAAACATGCAGCAAACAATGGCAAGGCAGAGCCACCAGAAACGAACACCTGATTTTCATGACAAATATGGTAACGCTGTATTAGCTACTGGAGCCCCTTTCTGTACTGCTGTATGGACATATGTGGCAACACACATTGGAATACAATGGAACCTGTCCCCTGTTGGCAGAGTCACCCCAAAGGAATGGAGAGAGGAGTAATCATCCCAGCTGATGTAATACTGAATTGTTTAAAAACCAACTCATAATTGATGCCAAGTAAAATCACTGTGTACCCATTAAAATATGGCATTACTGAAGAAATAAAGTACATCTGAAACCTTTAAAAAAAAACAAAACTAGAATGGCATTAAAACATATAATGCACAGCCTCACATACCTGTTTGGAATACAAGTTCTTTCCCTCCTACACCCGCTGCCTCCAAGTTAATAAATGCACGAATCAAGCTGGCCCAGGGGTGCTGAGTAATAAAACCATGACTGGCCTTAATGAGAAGGAAAGGAAATAAACATTAGTTAAACAATCTTAAGTTATCAAAGTCTTTATTTTGCTTATTTTAAGGACAGAAAGGCTATCTTGATGAGGTGAGAAAGATGAAAACAAAATAATCATCTTTCAAAGGCAGTATCTAAAGACATTTTCTGCTTCTCTTTCTATGCATAATGGGTGTGCACATTATGGGTATGGAAAGTTACCATTCACAGAAGGCAGCATGATTACCATGAGTGGTGCCAAACAATGTCCTTGGTAAGTGCAAAAGAAAGGGCAAGGAGAAAGGGAGAAGAGAAGAGACGATCCATGTGGCTGGCATTCACGCTGTGTGTCTGCCTCAAAACATCTCTGAAACTCCAATGTCAAAGAAAACCTGAGGAAAGTAACCATGCCATCAAAGAGCCCTTTTATAAATCAAACATTGCCAAGATGATCTGCTCTGAGTTGAGTTTTCCAAATATTGAACATATCTACATAAATGGTTGTGAAATTTTTTTTTTTTTTTGAGACAAAGTCTCGCTTTGTTGCCCAGGCTAGAGTGAGTGCCGTGGCATCAGCCTAGCTCACAGCAACCTCAAACTCCTGGGCTTAAGCAATCCTGCTGCCTCAGCCTCCCGAGTAGGTGGGACTACAGGCATGTGCCACCATGCCCAGCTAATTTTTTCTATATATATTAGTTGGCCAATTAATTTCTTTCTATTTTTAGTAGAGATGGGGTCTCGCTCTTGCTGAGGCTGGTTTTGAACTCCTGACCTCGAGCAATCCGCCCACCTCGGCCTCCCAGAGTGCTAGGATTACAGGCGTGAGCCATCACGCCCGGCCTGGTTGTGAATTTTTTAAAGGCCTGCCTAGTACAGTATTTCTTTCATGTATCATTTTATGACACTGCTCACATGAATAACAAAAATGCATCAGTTTTAGCTATTACTATCGTCATCATTATGCGAGCCTAGTATTTAAAACAGTAAAATCTCACTTGCAAGACATTTTCCTCAGCACCATTAAAGAGAAACACGATGGCATGATGTAAGGCTTCTGAAGATGTTGACAAGACGCGAAGGACTTCCAGCATCACTGAACAGCTAACTGCATCATCACTGGCACCTTCAAATCAGAAAAACAGATTTGCTTCTCAGATTTTAAAACCTTTACAGTATAAACCATTATGGTTAGAAATGGTGTTTTCTCCCCTTACCAGAAGCCTAACTCTGCCTGATGACACCCACTGGCAGTAGCTCCATGAGGGAAGGGATCTCTGGTTTACTCACTGACTTTCAATCCCTGGAACCATGCCTGGCCCACAACAATCAATTAGTATCTACTGACTAAATCAACCAGATGGTACCTAAAATCATACTGAAAACTGGCATTCTCACCAACCCAAGGAGATTTTCCATTCTTTATCTATATTCCACATCCTCTGTATTGGTCTCACTTCTAGTGCTCACAGCTCACTCCATCATCTCCCACTGCCACCCACTCCTTTCCTGCTTGTTTTCCTGCCAATATCATAAAAACTAAAGATCATTCGAGGGGTCAGTTTGGATGGTGTTAACATTTTTTTAAGGTTTCTCCAAAGAGATGATGTGATGGAAAAGTACAAAGAAGTCACCTAATCTAGTAAAACACAGGAAAGGACACTAAGCACCTGAGTAGTATCCTTGGTCCCAGCACTGATAAAGTAGAAAACTTAGTCAAATCTCTTAATGGTCTTCTTGATTCAGAAACTTTATATGTTAATTAAAAGTAACTATAAAGATGACTTTAGTGCCTTGCTTTTTTAAAGCACTGAAAGAGGCAGGTAAATGAACTTGACTGGATATTTGATGATACCAAGGAATTACAGTCAGGTTTTTTTGGCGAGGCAATTCTTGGTATTATGACTGTATCAAAAAGGGTCCTTATCTTTCAGCAATTTAAACTGAAATACTTCAGGGGAACTGATATAGCTAAGATCTACTTCAAAATAATCAAGGAGTTGGGGGGAGCAGTAGAAGTAGGAAGGAAATAAGATAGCATTGTTGAAGCTGGGTGACAGGTACACTGGGGTTCACTAACTAAACAATTCTAGTTTTGTATATGTTTGAAATTTTCCATAATAAAACATTTAATGAGTAATCAAAGTAAATAGGCACTATAATAACCTAGGCAATAACATTTCTGGTTTTTTATGCACTGGGAGGCAGGGTGCTAAAGAGTTTAGTGTGGATTTTAGAGCAAGAAAGAGCTGGAAGTAAATTTTAGCTCCTTGGCTTTACTCCACTATTTTCTGGTCTAGAGAGCAGGCTAATGATACCTTACAGGTTTGTTTTGAGAATTACACAAGATAATGCACAGCACCTGACACCTGGCAAGCAATAAACGTTAGCTCTTCCTTCTCTTTGCAAACTTAGGAAGCCTCTGTAGCCGGGGAAAACGCTTGTTTGGGTTCTGTTAAATTTCAGAACCAATTCCTACTCAAGAAGAAACTACTTATTAACTATACTTGTCTCAGTGGTGATTATTGGATTGTATTTTAATCAAAGTGAAACCAAGTAATATTTATCTAATTACTATCAAGTAGGAAGTATATGTTACTATAGTATATAGTGCTACCTTTCAGGAATCAAATGAAATAAACTTTTTTACTTTGAGACTGTTACTTTAAAATAAAAAGCAAACCATAAAATTTTTCTTTATTGAAAGTAAGAGAAAAAGAAATTGAAAGGTATGTATCTATGTAGAGTTGCTTAAAAAGTTAAACTGTCCATTTATCTTCTCGTTCTTTAAATGGTATGTTGTCTTAGAAGAGAAATAAAGACAGGTCAAATATCTCTAAGAAAGTGAAGGAAAGTAAGAACACAGTATCTGCAAGGGCTGGGTGATTAACCAACATCCCTTTCCGTTTAGAATTAACCTTGAAATTGAAGCCACCCTCAAAATAACTTAATGTCTCTTCTAACAACGACCTGGAACTACACATCAGACTCAAGATAATTAAGGGCTTTATGTGGATAACATTACCACTAATTGGTATCAGTTCCTGAGTCCCAGATACTCTAAGAATTAAAAAAAAACAACAACAAAAAACCCATGCTTCAATTAGTCCAACCACTAATATATTTGATGAATGTGTAAAACACTATTTTTAACAACTTATTATTGACAGAAATTTCCTTGAGATTGCTGGTATGGATATTATCATAAAATTTTAGTTAAAAATGGATTCTAATGGCTCATAAAAATGCCATCCTTTAAGTATTAGACTCCATGTATGCAAATTGTAATATATGGCACCTACGTTTGTGAAGGGTAGCAGTATGTGCCACCCCAAAATATCCCACTTTGGCATAAGGATTATTTTGAGCTGAAAGCAACTGAGAAGTAGATATTGAACAAAAAAAAAAATCCCTCTGCTCTCCCCCATTTGCCTATAAGCAGGGCATAAATTTACAAAGGTGTCCCACCTCCCCTCTCTACCAAAAAGGTTGATCACCAAAGACTTTATATTTTTGTCAACCTGGTAACAGCACCAGAGGAATCTACATAACAAACTTTAATAACCTTTATCTACCATTTATTTGCCTTCCTACAATTTGCCACCTCTAAAGACTCAAGGTCCTTTTCCTTTGTCTTGTCACTTCACCAAAAACATACTGTTCTTTGTTAAAGATGCCAGATTTCTAACCCAACTCTTTGAGATTTACTCATTTTCCCTGGGTATCTCCCATGTATACACGAGGTATACATGTTAATAAACTTCTGTTTGTTTTTCTCTTGTTAACCTGTCTTTTGTTACAAGGGTCCATCTCAGCTAAAAACTACAAAGGGTTAAGGGAAAACTATTTTTCTTTCCCTATATTTGTTTCTGATTCTTGTACATACATCTTTCTTATATAATGTTCTTAAGCACCATGATGTTTATTTGCCCACTCCTAAAATTTAAACATCATAATTGTGGGCATAGGGCGACACTTATGACTGCTTTGACATGAACATAAGACCACTGGTTTCCCCAGCACACACAAAGGTATTTCTGCCTTTACATAACAAATGTGTGTATACTGATTTTTTTATAAAGCAAATTACATTCTAAATGCAGTAACTCTACATGTTCATATTGAGTCTGCTATAAGTTTAAGCAATCCAGAAGTATTAATACTCAATAACAGTTAATAGCAAAAAAAAATTTCCATGCCAGGTGCTGTTCTTATGTTTGACTTATATTTAATCCTCCAAGCAAAGTATTATTATTTTCTCCATTTCACAAAGGAGAAACTGAGAAAAGAAGAGGTTAAGCAAGTTGCCAAAGGGAGCATTAATTACACTCTAATACTCTCCTTCCTTTCAAATGTAGCTGAAAGAACTGACTGGCCAGGAAACTCAGCATCTCATCCCAGTTGTCTCTGATCAGCAGTGATCAGCTAAATTTATCCGTGTGTCAAATGAGGGGGTTGAGCCAGCTGCCATCTCAGATCTTATCTACCACTAAAATGCTACGATACCATTGTAAAATGCTTTTCTATTCTTCACTTCTTATAATCTCTTTAACTACTGAAAAAATATTTCTGTGGAATATTGTAATAAATGGAAGTTCAATTTAAGGGATTCTCATTCATTTGACAAATATTTATTTGTCAGGCACTGTCATAACATCAAGTATTCTATTTTGCCAAAGTATTTTCAGAGCAAGATTTATGGATTATTTTAGGTACTCTAACAGTATGGCACCCTCCATGGACCAAAATTCTCACTTACAGGTCAACAGAAACTATTAGAGAAGATATCCTCCAAACCATGCATCGCTGAAGACAGGAACTGTCCTTGATCCAGTATCCCTAAAGCCTAGTACAACACCCAGCTGAGTAACACCTGAAGTGGCAGAACTCAACTCGAAGACATAGAGACACATGCAGTCTGGTAATACTGACAAGGCTGCTTCAGTCTACCAGAAACACTCCAAGTACTGTCATTGGGCTGCTGGTATTAATGTTAAAATAATAATAATAAAGCACTTAAGAGACTACTGAAAGATCAGATCCTTAACTAAATGATACAAGTCTAATTATCCCATCTTTCATCACAATAAAAAAAGGTTTGCCAAAAAACAATGGTCCCCACAATTGTCCAAGCAGCTTGAGGTTGTGTTAATAAACTTTCTGGACTGTGACTTCAAAATGACAAAAAAAAAAAAAAAAAAAAAATAGGAACATACCTGGTGAGTTTGCCACTGAGTCAAAATGACAGTTAGCCAGGATAGCATGCTGGGCTCCCTCTCTGGGTTCCAGCTTTACCACAACATTGGTGATGTTGTCATAGTAGCTTGTAAAACCTCCCAAAAAGTCAATGCTAAAAGAACCTGTAGGCCGTTGTACATCTACTGAAATCTTGTGACGGCTGTTGCTTTGCACTTCAATCAGTTTAATCTGTTCCAAAAGGTAGTGCACTGTCAGAATTTCATTTTCTGGACTTCCTGTAGTCCTGGGGCCAATAGATGTTATGTGTTCAAGATAATCCCTGGAAGCAACCAAAAGAATGATGACGACAAAGGTTTATAGGCTTAAAAATAACACTTAGCACAGAGCAAATGTCCTACTACACTCCCCTTCCTCCCCGCAAAAAGTTCTTTGATGTCTCATTTTAAAAGACTGCCTTTTATTATTTCAGACATGTTGTGAAAATCACTTGCAAAGTTCCATCATTTTATTTTGCCTCCCATGAGTTGATCCCTTGTTTTCTCTACTCACCACACTCTCAACTTCCCCTGTATTAAATCAATACAAAGGCTAAGAATTGTATTCAAACACTGTGTGACAGCCAAAGGCTAGGCAAGACAGAACATAACTTCATTGTGCTAACCCCCCATATTCCTGGGGTTATTAATTCTGGGTCACTACTTCTAGTAGTAGAAATCAATGCAAAGTCAATCAAGTCAAGGGGTTAAATAAGCAAAAGAAAAAATTTCTGATGATTAGGAATGGACCCAGCCCCCCTAGTAATTTAGGCCAAAACCAACTCTACCCCTAATGAAAACAAATTTCTTTTTTTGTCATTTAACTGCCTTCCAAGTGGAGAAAAGGGGCTGATAGGGGTGTCCCAGAAAGTCCTTAAGAAAATAAGCTTTCAGCACTTTGTGGTCAAAGAAAAAGTTTTTAAATACAGTGGCTGTCGAAAACTTCCTACTAGCTTATGATTTTATGAGCTTTCACACACTTGGGTTACAATACCTTTGACAATCACCTGTCCTAGCATACTTAAAGGTCTTTATTAAAAAAAAAAAAAAAAAGTCAAACCTTACAGTCACTAATCCGGAGGCCCAAAGACAAACTGCAGGGATCTAAGAACTTTTCAAACTTCATGCAAAATTTTGATTGAGCGGTGTTCCAAGGAGAGCCTCCACAGCTTACTAATTTGGGAATTGTGACCCTCAGAAAATTAGAATACTGCACTAGGCGCTTCCAGCGCCCCCCACCCCAAACCAATTTACAAAACGATTTAGGTACACAAATTTCACTCTCCATTTCATGTGGAAAAGCAGGAGCGCAAACCAAGGTAAAAATGGAAGTTGCCCCAGAAGAAGAGTGGACGACTTCTAACCAAGCATCTCCACACAGTGGGTGAAAAAGCATGCTCAATTCAACTAGCCACCCCTAAGCTGCACCACGAGTTTAACAAGGGGCCAGGCAAACGCCGAGTCCCAGCAATTCAGACCCTAGATAAGGACGTGCAAGGCCACCCCCGCCACGTGCAGCCCGGGAGGGGCCGGCGAGCCCCAGCTGTCCCGCAGGGGCGGGTGCACACAGGTGCGGTGCCCCGGCACCTGGGCAGGGGCCGCAAAGGGGCGCGCGGGCCATGCGAGGAGGGAGCGGCGGGTACCTGGCTTGGCGCGCGTCGAACTCCCCGTGGCGGCCAGTGGCCCCGCGCAGCACGAGCTGCTGCAGCGACAGCTGCACGAGCGTCCGCAGAGCGAGCAGGTAGAGCGCGAGCCCCAGCGCGGCGCGCGCCTCAGACAGCCCGGTCCCCGCGCCCCGGCTCGCGCCGCCGCTACCCCCCGGGCTCCTCTTCCGCGTCCTCGCGCCGCCCCTGCCGCCGCACGCATCCACCAGGGGCTCCTGCTCCGGGGCCTCCCTCTCCGGCGGCGGCGCGTCCGCGGGTCCCTCCCGACGCTCCCCTCCGACGCGGTGCCGCCTCACAGCAGCCGACTCGTAACCCCACTCCATGGCCACCAGCCTCAGCCGCCAGCCCAACCGCCCCAGCCCGCGACAGCCCCGGCAGCCGCCGCCGCCGCCGCCGCCGCAGCGCCTCCTAGTGAGCGGACGGAAACTGCAGAGGGCCAAACTTCTTCTGATTGGCCCGTTCCCGTCTCGTCGCGACCCGGTGCCTCTAGGCAGACCGCGGGGCTGGCACCGCGGCAGGACGGACCCAGGCTGGGCGCGGTGGGTGTGCCGTCTCCTGCAGGGCTTTCCCAGCCTGGTGTGGGATAGAGATTTCCAACTGGGAAGACACTCATAAACCTAGAAACGTGCAGCCCAAAACAGGAGAAAAGAGAGAGATCACTTTTGTAAAAAAATGCACGTGACTTTTGTGGTGCACCAGACAGATGAAAAATGCAATGGCCCAACTTTAGAAAGGAACATTAGAACAGGCGTTTTTAAAAAGTGGGCTCTTGGCAGTTACAATTAGAAATAGGACTACGCAGAGGAGGCCCAGCCTATTGCTTTCATATACATAATCTAATCAGATCGTAACCCTGTAAGATAACTAGCGATATTACTGTCTCCATTTAACAGATAAAGAAAAATAATAGCTATTATTTATTGAATACCTGCTATGAGCCAAGCACTGTCCTAAGCGCTTTAATACACTGTCTCATTTATTTCCCATACAAACCCTGAAAAGAAAGTGTTTATATTCCCATTTAATAGCTGAAGATCCTAGAGGTAACTGATGAAGAATTTAAATATAATTTCATGGGCTCCTAAAAACAGCATTCTGTTCCACTGCTACTATGGCTCTCTGGAACCAAAGGTTCAGAAAAGCTATTCTTCCCTCAACATCATCCGGGTGGTTAAAAAGCAGACCCTTGGTTTGAGTGCAGATCCTTGTGATTAGTCATCTTCCTCCTTTGCTGGTACAATGAGTCTCTCTGCTCTAAGGTTCTGTGTCCCCAGCAAGGATTTAGTGTAGAGACCAACTGGGAAAGCACACTGCGGGATTTTCACTTAGCACATATGTCAGATTTCATACAATGCCCTGTGAGTCTGCTCCTGCCTACCTTTCAGGCTCATCTGACACCAGGATGCTCATTTCTGGCTCTCCAGCCACACTGGCCTCTTTCAAAGATTTCCTGCACACCATCTTTTCTTTTACAATGGATCCTCTAACATGATGTGTGAATTACCTGGAATGTTCTTCCCTCCCCTCATTGCCTAGTTAACTCCTATTCATCCTGCAAATCTCGGTGCAAATGGCACTTCTTCAAGCAAGAGTCTCCTAACCTAATTAAGCCTGTTTCTCCTATTTGTAGGCTCTGGTAGCAACATGTATGCATGTGATTATTTACTATCTCCTTCATTAGACTATAAAGCTTGGTGAAAGCAGGAATCATGTCTGGTTTTGCTCACCATTTTATTACCAGCTCTTAACACATAGTATGTAGTCAATAAATATTTCTGGAATGAATAAATGAAGACATAACAACTTTATGGTGGCGGCAGTATAATTTTAGCTCTATAAGATCTTTTCTAATCTGTAAGCTCCATGAGACCAAAGACAATGTCTATCTTATTTATTCATCACTGTATCCATATTGCTTAGCTCTATGCCCAGACCATGATCATAACCCAATACCTATTTATTGAATGAGAGAATGAATATATATTGTCTTTGAAAAGAATCAACTATTTTACTATTCTCTTACACCCAAAACCCTTGACCTTCCATCGCCTTGAGAAGACCTCTGAATCGACTCTGATTGACTCTGTGTCTACTACTGTCTGAGAAGATGTGGAGGTTTCTAGTTCCTAGGAGAAGGGCACAAAGGTTTCATGGTCTTTCCTGGCTTATTTTGTGCTGTCACTTGTTGGGCTGGTTGGGTGTCAGAAAACCTAGGGACAAATGGCAGCTGTCAAGAGTATGGTACCAAGTAATTCACTTGAGCTCTCTTTTTCCAAATGGATAATGTATATTAAGCATTTCTGACAACATCCCATGAGAAGCAGTGTACTTCAGTGTACTGCAATGAAAAAATGCCTGGCTGTTGGGGTCAGGTAGATCTGAATTCCTGAATCTGGTACCTTCAATATACATGGCATTATTCAAGTTACAATCTAACACAGTTCTTGTGTGCTTATCTGTGATAATGGAGATAATGCCTGCCTTAAAGGGCTTCAGTGAGGATTAATCAACTAATATGTGTCAAAGCTCCTCATACAAGTTCTCATTAAAAACTATTTTCCAGAATTTTCCTTCTTAAACAATCCTTTGCAGATTAGATTAAAAGCCCTAGGTGGTAGAACTTATTATCATAGAGTTCTTAGAAGGCAGTTTTTCTCTAGACTGTGTAAACTATGGGATTCACATTTTAATATTTTAAAGCTACCAGATGTTGCACAGATATCTACTCTGTGTCAGATACTGATCAAGATGGAGAAACAGAGAGAACAGTCCAATATTTCTGCCTTCACAGAGCTTACACTCTAATGAGGAGACAAGCACATGTGCGTGTGAATAAAATGTCAAAAGAGTTAGGTGCTATGAGGAAAAATAAAGCAGGGAGTTGAGAGTGACAAGAGGCTGCTGTTTTATTAGAGTGATCAGGGAAGATCTCTCTGAGGAGATGACATCTGAGGTGACCTGAATGAAGTGAGCAACAGGGCCACATAAGACTGGGGAGAGAATGTTCCCTCCAGGCAGAGGGAAATGAGCTGGGATATTCAGAAGCAACCTGGAGTAAAGCATGCAGCTAAAGCATGCACCTAGAGCCTCATATAGGCAAGGTGAGAACAGTAGGCAGAGGTCAGCTCAAGGAGGACCTCCTGGTCACAGCAAGGACTTAGGGTGGTTTTACACAGTGAAAGGTCATGCTCCACATGATCTTTTATAGGAGTTACAATCTAACAGAGTTCTTATGTGCTTATCTGTCACCCAGTGTCTCAATGCTGAGCAGAGCAGCACAATGACCACATCTAAATCATATAAGCTAATCAAAGACTTTGGTAATGTTTGGCCTTTGAAGTGTTTGAAGCCACTTTGATCTGTAATTTTATTTGTGTGCAAAGTAGAAAATAGTGAACTGAAAGGTACTGTAGTTCCCACATATCAACTTGCTCATGAGGCTGAGATGAACATCAAAGGCTTTGGCAGCCCCATCTGGTGAGCTGTTGATCACCGGACTTGAGTCAATTACGGTTTTCTTGGCAGGCAATTATATTTTTCTTGTGTGTACCTTTATGGCAAAGTGAGGGGGTAGACTGACCAACAGGCATAGAGATGTCTGTCCCATGTCCGTTTTATCTTGCCGTCTCTCCAATATTTCCTAGTAACTAGGTCAAGGTGAGCAGAAGGGCATGTGAGCTGTCAGGATTCCCATGAATTGCCAGTTTCTGTTTCCCATCATTCCATCACCAATGTGCCTTAGAAGAAAACCATGCTCTGTGTGGCTCCTTCCATGGAAGAGGGGCTACTCGGGCACTTGATAAAGTTCTCTGGCACTGAGATTGGCAGAAGGATGCCTTTTACCTTATGTTACAGTGACTTTCAAATCAAGTGAGGTGCCAAGTCAAGAGGTATGAAGAAAATCCAAACCAGCTGCAAAAGAAGGAAGATGTCAAAACCTGACAGGCAGAGGAAGTCAAAAGATTGCAAAACCAAGAACAAGAGGCCGGGCGTGGTGGCTCACGCCTGTAATCCTAGCACTTTGGGAGGCCGAGGCGGGCGGATTGCTCAAGGTCAGGAGTTCAAAACCAGCCTGAGCGAGACCCCGTCTCTACCAAAAATAGAAATAAATTAATTGACCAACTAAAATATATATACAAAAAATTAGCCAGGCATGGTGGCGCATGCCTGTAGTCCCAACTACTTGGGAGGCTGAGGCAGTAGGATTGCTGAGCCCCGGAGATTGAGGTTGCTGTGAGCCAGGCTGATGCCACGGCACTCACTCTAGCCTGGGCAACAAAGTGAGACTCTGTCTCAAAAAAAAAAAAAAAAAAAAAAACCAAGAACAGGGATTTCAAAAAGAGATCTCAGATAAATATTGCAGACAGGTACTTTTGCTGACAGCCAGGTTTTTTGTGCTCACAGAGGAGTATGAATGTGGGCCAGCTGTGTTTAAAGGACTAGGCATGGAACTCATGTCCAGGTTCAGGAGACACCATTAGTTTTTTGTTTTGTTTTTTTTTTGTTTAGCTCCCTTATGGCTGAAGCTGGAGCCTCTGGGTGCTGCTGGACAATCAGTCTTTCTAACTATGAAGCTCTGAAATGGAACATTCAGGAGCTGATAACAATGGTCAGCTGCAGGGAACACCTCCAACAAGCCAGGCAGCCTGGAGGTAGCAGTGCTGGCAGGAAAGGGCATCCCAAAAAGCACATAGCCCAGATCTGTAAACCCGCCTTTTTTCAGAGCTTTTCTGCCCTCATGAGCTGAGGTGTCCTAAGAGCTTAGGGAGAGGGTAATGGTGCTCCCCTCTTCCCTCCCCCTCAAACCCCAAGTTGATACCCCCTGCTATCTAGTTCCCTGTAACTAGATGGACACAGAAGAGTGAGAAAACAAGTCTAGCTGCATTGCTAGCTGAAGCTACCAGGTCATCACCTTTTACTGTGGCCAATTAGAAAAGAGATTCCAAGACTTTTGGAAATAAATGGAATTGAGACAATATTGGTTCATTCCTTCTTTTTTTTTTTTTTTTTTTAGAGATGGGTGTCTCACTATGTTGCCCAGGCTGGACTTGGACTTAAACCCCTGGGCTCAAGCAATCATCCCACAGCCTCCTGAGTAGCTTAGACTACAGGCATGCACCACTGCACCCCACCAATTCGTTCATTGGTGGGGTGGTTCTTTCAATTGTTTCAATAACCAAATTGAAACTTTATACCATATTACACACCAAAAAAAAAATCAATATCAAAATCAAGTAGAATTCAGAATCAAGCATAAAAAACTTTTGACTACTTCAAAAATAAGGTGAATATAATTAAATAATTGTAATAATTAAGATTCAAAATAGATAAGGACTCTAATCAAAAAAGAAATAGAAAATATCATAAAGG